GGGGAGGAAGCGGGGGAGGGGGTAGTAGAGGAGGAGGTTTCCAAGGCAGAGGAGATTATGGGGGGAGGGGAGATTATGGTGGAAGAGGAGGGGGCTATGGTGGAAGAGGGGGCTATGGTGGAAGAGGTTATGGAGATCCTTATGGAGGAGGTGGGGGTGGATATAGAAGATATTAAAAACTACCAAAATTAGATAGCAGTGCTTTTCTTGGCAGAGACATTAGGTGTAGTGTTCTAAATAACATACTTGAATGTCATCTTTGAAATAAACACCATGTTAGATTCCCTGATACCATTCTTGAATTGGGTTAATCTGTAAGAGCATTGTTTTATACTACCATCTGATCTCTTAGAGTGATGATTTTTCCATATTCTGTGTACCCTTGAGCATGTCTTTTTAAAAAACAAAAAATGAGCAAAAATTATTTTTAAAAATGTAAATATTTATTTCCATCAGACTTAGAAAATGGAAAGTATTTTATTGTCATGATTGAATTTAGATTGTTACCTGTATTTTATTCAGGTTTGAAACACATAAATAACCCGACTTGTAATGGAAAGGAATATAGACTGTTGCCTCATCTGTATTCCTGTGCCGTGTTTTGTATTTGATAAAATTATACTTTATAGGGAAATAGGGAAAGGGACTGATCTGATAGTTGTGTTCAATAGGTAGTTGTCATGACTTGTTTGTTCTTTTATAGGCAGCAATTCCTCTGACCAGGTTTCTGTTAAAAGTTCCATTAATTGAAGCTCAAGCCTACTTTTTGCTATGTATATTTGATTTATTTTCCAGGTGGATTTGAAATCTGTGATTTTGTTTAACAAAGCAAAGTTAAAGACTGAGGTCAGAATTACCCTAAAGGGATAAGGACAAGCAATAATTTTACATGGTGATGTAAATAATACTCATATAAACTGGTCTCTTCATTTGTGCCATCACCTTAGGTGTTTGAATATTAAAATGCAGGCTGAGCTGTATTGCTCAGGATTAGGGCAGTAATTGCCAGTTTCAGTCCATCAGAGGTAGGGCATCCCTTGGAAATTCTGATTCATAGCTCGATTTGGGAAACAGGGTTAGGGAGTGGTTACATGTGGTTTGGTGGTTGGAGCAGGTAAAGGTTTGGAGATCAAGAGTTGTGAATTTGAATCATGGTAGCCCAGGGGTTCTATGGGCTGAAATGACCATAGCTCTCAAGGATTGATTTGTCCTCATTTGTCAAATGAGGAATGGGACACTTGCACTCTTCTCAGATTGTTTCATAAAGACGTAAGTACAAGTGCCATTTATTGAGGGCTTGTTGTGATGGTTTAATGCATTTTTCTTTTAGTATAGAGAGTTAGATAAGATAGTCACACACATTTTTTCATTCCCACTGTAAAATGTGTATCCCAGTGTGGGCTCTTGGTTGACACCTGTGCATAACAACTTTCTTTGATCTAGCAAACTCAACAGATAGAAAGCTGATTACCAGTGGACACATGGTATTTGATATTTGGCAGTTTCATTGTTGTTGTTTTGTTTTGCTTTACAGTAAACCCTGTAGCGAAAACTAAAATAATGTTAAAACTTTAAATATTGTGTATACTGCAGTCTTTGCCATGTATTTTTCAAGCTAACTCTTCAAAGAAATTTGTTCAGGACAGGAAAACAAACTTTAGGTTATTTGTAAAATAGATTTTAAAAATGTGTTTATATTTAATGAAGATACTTAATTTCATTTGTGATAGTTGGGAAAAAAAGGCTTTCTGTAATTAAAACATTCTTTTCAATAGCTATGAATTCTGAAAAATAAATAATTTTTAAAAATATTTAATCAAAGACTACTGGAGTATAGTTGCTGATATAGAAGGGGTTTACAACTACTTTCAACTTTTATCACTCAAGGTTTGTGGTAAACAATGGCAGAAACATTAATTTATCCATTTCTGTAAGATTTCCTTATACCTTCATAGGAGTGCTGTTGAGTTATCCACTATACTTGCTGTAAACCTTATCCAGTTTTATCGCTTGCTCCTGGGATCATATTGGAGCTGGAACCACTCCTATTTATACATTCTCATAAACTTCACTTGAATGATAAGCAGGGTGATCTAGACCCTAATCTTTTTCTTCCCTGGAAGGTAGGATTTTCATGATATTTTTTTTTTTTTTAAAAGATTTTATTTATTTATTTGACAGAGAGAGAGAGCGCACAAGTAGGCAGAGAGGCAGGCAGAGGGAGAGGGAGAAACAGACTCCCCACTGAGCAGGGAGCCCAATGTGGGACTCGATCCCAGGACCCTGGGATCATGACCTGAGCCGAAGGCAGCCGCTTAATCGACTGAGCCACCCAGGCGCCCCCATGATATTCTTTTTTAAGTAAAAATTTGTTTTGTAGAAGTGTGTGCTGAGCAATAGCTAGACTAGCAATAGGCAATTTGGGGCTTTGATGTCAACAGCCATAATGTGAAAATGTTTTATAAATTGAGTGCAGTACAAATGCAGAGTATGATGAATGGTACTTTACTGCTTCCTACAATCTAAACCTTTTTATGGGCCTCCTCTTCATTCCTTTTTGCCCGGTTCTCAGTTTCATTTTCCCCTATTACCTCATTTATCTTCCTCCCCCCCCCCTTTTTTTTCCCCCCTCCCTGCCTTAGTCTAGCCTTTGGTATCTTAATAGCACCTATAGACATGACTTTTTTTTTTTTAAGATTTTTTTTTTTTTTTTGCGAGGGAGACAATGAAAGACAGAGAGCATGAGAGGGAGGAGGGTCAGAGGGAGAAGCAGACTCCCTGCTGAGCAGGGAGCCCGATGCGGGACTCGATCCTGGGACTCCAGGATCATGACCTGAGCCGAAGGCAGTCGCTTAACCAACTGAGCCACCCAGGTGCCCTAGACATGACTTTACTGAGAGATTCTGGGTTAAAGTAACTAATCTCTTATCTGGACCTTACAAAGAATGTGTGTCCCCATCCATTTTACACATAGCTCTCAGCAGAAGGGTGAGATGTTTTCTTTGAACCTATGGCCTTGTGTTCTGCAGATCAGGGAAACCTTGCTTCACTAAAGAGAAAAAACATTTTAAACCAAGAACACTTAATTACCTTTATTTATGTCAGAAGAAGGTATGATAAACCCAGAAAAGATTTGTGACCAGGAAATGTTCTGAGCAATGAGATGATACCTTATAAGAAGCACAGGATAGATAAATTTGGGATGGAATCTGGGGATGAAAGAAAGGAGGCAGTTTAATCTCTCCTTCAGGGTCAGGTTGTCATTGTGACTTATTTTGTATGAAGTGTTACGAATTGCCAAAAGGATAAATACACCCACATCCAAATGTAGCAGAATGCATTCCATAGTGGAATTTGGAATTCTTCATTGGTCTGGTTAAACAGAAGTTGGGGATTAAGAGGAAGTCATAGCTATCTCTTAATCACTCTGAGTAGTCATGAACACAAATGAATTGCTTTGGGTGGTCTACATTGGACTGAACTATATCAATTTCATGCACAACTTCAAAGTTCTTTACTTGCTAGTTTTCTTAGAACTGTTGAATTAAAGACAAAAGCTACAGAGAAAGGACAACCTTAAATTTGTCTCCTTCATAAGTTATTTATAGGCTTAATATTTGGGGACCGCTGTAAGTCCTTATGCAGTAAGATAGGAAAAGGTTGAATATTTCTGTACTGTTACTTCATGTTATAAAAAGATTGAGAAAAACTTACACTGAATAATTGCTTTGCTTTTCCTTCCAGGAATACCCAGTTTGGTTAATAGAATAGGCAAGTATTGTCAGCTTTGGATTATAGATTTTTTAAGAGAAGCTTCTACATATTCATGAACTAGAAGAAACACAAGACAGCTATGTGGTAGGGATCCTAATGTCTTTTATCATATAAATATTACACAAAGAAAACTTACATTAGGTATCAAAAAAAAAAAAAAACCCTTTACAATCTGTACACTTGTTTTTTCCTTGCAGTTCTTTTACATTATAGATCCTTAGACAGAAATTCACAAACGGTCAGTAAAAAGGCAAGTCAGTTACCAAAGAAAATAAGTGACATTGCTGTTGACAAAACAAGATTTGTCCTTGTTTTGACAGATAAATATGTGCTCAAACATATTTCAAGTCAGTATAAGACATAAAAGTTTGTATCCTAGGCTTGACAAACCAAAAATTTTTTCCAGATTATTTCTGTAGATTCTACTAATCCCATGTAGCTCAATGCAAATATTAATTTACATGCTATTCATCTTTGGCCCTTGCTGGACTGTAAAAACTTGTGATAAAACTACTGCTTCCTGCCCATTTTAGTGATAAATTCTGGAATGCTTAAGACCCTCTAGCCATATTAATTTGATTAAGGGAGCTCTGACCTTTGGAATTTTAGGATTACAGAATATGTACACAGGAGTTAACTGGGGTCTGTATTTTGGATGGAGGGTAAGGAGAATGAAAAATTGTGTTACATGACTGTGTTTATAAAGAAATGAGCTGTACCACCTTTGGTCTGTATCAGAGGGAAAGAATAATAGTGAAGAACATGAATTTTAAGATTATCATAAATTCATGTTTGCTACTTATGTGGACAAAGTGCTTCTTAACTTATATACCAGGTGATGGACCTAAGCAGCCTGCTCTGGGGATTTCTGAATTTGGAATTAGGAAAGGGTAAATTTGTGCATAAAGTAATTCTTTAAAACACTAACTGAAAGCCACTCACTAGTTTTGTCACTAAAGCTCAGTACAAGGAGGTGTATGCAAATGGAAACTGGTCTTTCATCAGATAAACTTCTTAAATGATCTGAATCCTCCAAGGAAATTACACTGTATATACTTTGTATTCTGAATAAGATTTGGTGTTGTTGGTTTTAGGTTTCAAACTTAATTGTTGAGATTATGTTCTTGGCAGTTGGTCAACTTGCGTATGAATTTCAAGTATGCTTGGTACCAAGCTTTCCAAGCATGGAAGGTAAGTTCCCCTCAAAAAGAAAATGATTACATGAACTTTTTAGAGAAATCATATAGATCGGGAGTTTGTAAACAGTTGCCCAATTTAATGAGCCCATTTATCATTAACCTTCATTAATAGAAAACTCATAGGACTCCATTGTGATTTTGCTGAACAGTACATCTTACATTGTGAGCAATTTCTTTATCTTATAACAAACTAACTTTGTGGATTTGTGTAAATGACAAAGTTGTTTAATTCACCCCCACATTTTATGAAGGAGGAAACAAAATTCCAAGTCACATGCATGCTTGATATTGTATATACATAATATATACACATATACACGTTCTCAGGTCTTATTGAAGCCTCTGATCCAGTTAGCTTATTTCTAAATAATATTAATAGTGAAGACAGTATAGCACAAAATCAGTTCAAAATAGTTACTTCAAAAAAAAAAAAAAAGATAAAGATGGCACATGAAAAGTTAAACAGATTCTTTCAAAAGGCCATAAATTTCTAATTCTATCCCAGTGTAGGTATATGAGGACAAATACCACGTTGGCAGGTTTTTTTTAGCTACCTGGCCGGTCGTGTATTAGGTGGTATTAGCTATGTTTCCAGGTGTTTAGTTTGCCTACTTACGACTGTGAGACTAAAACTGTGAGTTGACCTGTAATTGGATAATGTCTTAGTCCCCTCCCCCACCCCCAAATTTGTGGCTCCATCTCTAGAAGTTTACTTCTAGATAGATATCCTCATTGTTTTGAACTTTGAACTATATCAATTTCATGCACAACTTCAAAGTTCTTTATTTGCTAGTTTTCTTAGAACTGTTGGATTAAAGACAAAAGCTACAGAGAAAGGACAACCTTAAATTTAACCTTAAATGAGATATCCTCATGTGAGTATGAGCCTAGTGAGGAAGGAGTGGGAGAAGGCTAATTGATTAGATATCTGAGGTAGTGAAGTGGGAACCGGATTCGAAAAGAATTCTGGAATATAGAGGAAGTGAGTCTATTTTTGGAATGTGAGTCTCTTCCCACGGTAAGCAAGCTTTGGATGGAATAAAATAAATCTTTCAGTTCACAGAAAACCCACAGAAGGAAGCAAATTAATTTTCCAGGGATTTTAGTTCTGAGGAAGAAGTAGCTACACAGGCCACATAGGAGAAGCAACCTTGTCAGAAATCTGTAGTCCTATTTTTATCAAGCTGTTGGTATTAGTTCCAGGGGAAAAAAAAGTTTATGGTGTGAATGGCAAAAATTCTACATTCTTCAGCCTTCCTACCCTTTGACTCAACTGACTGGAAGAGAAGACAGTTCCACTCATGAGGAGTCTTTCAAGTAAAAAAAAAAAAAAAAAAGCTTTTCTGTTTTAAAGTACCCTTTTAAAATAACTGGTCGATCTAAGGTTCCCCAGGTGTTTGTGTTACTCATTTTAGTTAAGAGATCTCTGATATACTCCTCTACACATTGTGCTTCTTCAGTTTCTGGGCTAAGAACAGTCACCGTGCTCCATTTGAGCTAAGACATGATTGCTTCTTGCAAGTTGGAGGGTTTCTATTTTCTTCTGTGCATATTTCAGTTGGATCTTTAGAGCGTCATTATCTGCTTTCAGGGTATTTATTTCCTAAAGGGAAAGGAGAATGAGGTATGTTAATAAAGCAGCAATGAATAGCAAATCAGTTACAATATTGGGAGTACTACACTTGATTGGCGTTTTCTATTCACTATGGCTGAGAATTAAAAACTTTTCAAGACGTTTATTTTGCTCTGAATAGAAAATAACAAGTTTAATGTCAAGTGAGCATGTGCAAACAGCAATTAGTTTTTGTTATCATATCAAGATGGCTAGCAGGCAGAATAAACCATTCCCAGACAAGAGGTGGATATAAAACCTTTGGATGCTGTATAGTGGGAGACCTAAACTTGGCAGAAATGGAGTCTCTCGTCAGGTCTGAGGTATGAAAACAGTGACTCAGAATACTGTCATATGAAATATTATAGTTCATTTAGTCTAAGTTTTTTCCCCCCAAATCACTGAAAAGTAATGGACTCCTTTGATAAGGAATTTTTTCCTACCCCCTAAATTGGGATTTAGTTATCTAATTTTCTGCGGCAGTTGACTTCCAGGCTACTGCCTTTTTTAAATTGAATTATATTTGACCTATGACATTCTATAAATTAAGATGTACAACATGTTATTTTGATATGTTGTAATACTGCCATTGTAAAGACAATCAGCACCTTTCATTGTTATAATATCCTTTTTAGTAATTGGAATAATTTAAGTTCTGGACTCAGCAGGTTTGAGGATTATAGTACAGTATTGTTTATTGTTCATTGTACCATGCATTGTATCTTTCAGGCTTATTTACCACTCGTTATAAGTTGGTACCCTTAAACAACATCTGTACCTCCCATCCTTCCCCTGGTAACCGCCATTTTATTTTATTATTTTTATTTATTTGAGAGAGTGAGCAAGAGAGAGAGAACACAAGCTGGGGGGAAAGGCAGAGAGAGGGAGAAGCAGCCTCCCCGCTGAGCAGGGAGCCTGATACGGGACTTGATCCCAGGACCCTGGGATGATGACTTAAGCCGAAGGCAGACGCTTAACTAACTCAGCCACCCAGGCGCCCCGTAACCACCATTTTAATCTGTTTTTGCAAGTTTGGCTTTTTAAAATTCCATATATAAGTGATGTCATACAGTACCTGTCTTGCTCTGTCTTGTCTCACTTAGCATAATGTGTTTGAGGTCCATCCATGTTGTTGCAAATTTCCTTCTCATGGCTGAATGATACTCCATTGTGTGTGTGTGTGTATATACACATTGTCGTTGTCCATTCATTGATGAGGTATGGACACTTGGGTTGTTTCCATATCTTGCCTATTGTAAATAATGCTGCAGTGAACATGGGGGTGTATGTGTCTTTTTGAGTTAGTATTTTTGTGTTCTTCAGATAAATACCCAGAAGTGGAATTGCTGGATAATATGATAGTTTTGCTTTCAATATTTGAGAAACTTCCACGCTGTGTCCCATAGTGGCTGCACCAATTTACATTTTCACCAACAGGGCACGAGGGTTCCCTTTTCAGCACATCCTAGCAAGCACTTGCTATCTTGTTTTCTTGATGCTAACCATTCTAACAGGTGTGAGTTGATAGCTCATCGTGTTTTGATTTGCATTTCCTTGATGATTAGCGATATTGAGCATCTTTTTATGTACCTGTTGGCCATTTGTATGTATTCTTTAGAAAAATGTCTCTTTAGTTCTTCTGCCCATTTCTAAATCAGATTTTGTTGTTGTTGAGTTGTATGAATTCTTTATATAATTTGGATATCAACCCTTTATCCAGTTTATAGTTTGCAAAAATTTTCTCCCATTCTGTATATTGCTTTTTCATTGTGTTCTTTCGCTGTGCAAAAGCTTTTAAGTTTGATGTAGTCTCTATTTGTTGAAGAGACTATCCTTTCCCCCTTGGGTGCTCTTGGTGCCCTTATCAAATATTAGCTCACTGCATAAGCAAGTTGTAATTCTGGGCTCTCTTTATTCTTCCATTGGTCTATGTGTTAGTTTTTGTGCCAGTACCATACTGGTTTTATTACTGTAGCTTTGAGTGTAGTTTGAAATCAGGAAGTATGATATCTCCAGCTTTGTTCTTTCGTGGTTCCATACAGATTTTAGGATTTTTTTTTTTTCTATTTCTGTAAAGAATGCTATTGTTATTTTAATAGAGATTGCATTAAATCTGTAGATGGCTTTGGGTAGTATGGACATTTTAACAGTTCTTCTGGTCATGAACATGGGGTATCTTTCCATTTGTTTCTGTCTTCGATTTCTTTCAGCCAAATCTTGTTTTCAAATTGTACAGATCTTTCACTTCCTTGGTTAAATATACTCCAAAGTATTTCATTGCTTTTGGTGCTATTATGAATGGGATAGTTTTATTTCTTTTCCAGATATTTCATCCTAAGTGTGTAGAAACGCAGCTGATTTCTGTATGTTGATTTTGTAGCCTGCAACTATACCTAAATTTTTGATTAGTTCCAACAGTATTTTGGTTCTTTTGGCGATTTTATACATACAGACTCATGTCATCTGCAAATAGTGACAGTTTTACTTCTTTCCTGATTTGGATGCTATTTATTTCTTTGTCTTGCTTAATCACTCTAGCTAAGATTTTTAGTAATGTGTTGAATAAGAGTGATGAGAGTAAGCCTCCTTGTGTCTTGTTTCTGATCTTGAGAAAAAGCTTTAACTTTTTTTCCACTGAGTATCTTAGCTATGGGTTTGTCGTTTTGGGCCCTTATTATGTGGAGGTCTGTTCCTTCTATACCTGATCTGCTGCTGTTTTGTTTTTTTTTTTTAATTTGAAAGGGTGTTATATTTTGTCAAATGCCTTTTCTGCCTCTATTGAGATGATCATATGGTTTTTCTTTCATTTTACTAATGTGATGTATTACATTTATTGATTTGTATATGTTGACCTATGCTTGCATCCAAGGGATAAATCACATTTGGTCATGGTGTATAATCCTCTATTTTGAGTTTGATAATATTTTGTTGAGAATGTTTGCATTTGTACTCATCAGCAGTATTGGGCTATAGTTTTCTTATGGTGTCCTAATCTGGCTCTGGTATCAGGGTAATGCTCTTCTTATAGAATAAGTTTGGAAGTATTCCCTCAATTTTCTGGAAGAGTTTGAGAAGGATTGGTGTTAATTCTTCTTTGAATGTTTGGTAGGTTTCACCAGTGAAGCCCAGTGTTGAGTGCATATATATTACAACTGTTATATCTTGTTGATGTATCAAGCCTTTTACCATTATATAATGACCTTTTGTCTCTTGTTAACATTTTTGGCTTGAAGTCTGTTTTGTTTGACCTAAGTATGGCTATGCCCCATTTTCCTTGGGCTTCTATTTGCATGGAATATCCTCTTCCATCCCTTTACTTTGAGCTGGTATGTGTCTTTAGAGCTGAAATGAGTTTCCTGTAAGCAGCATAGAATTGGGTCTTATTTTTTATCCATCCAGCCACTCTGTGCCTTTTGATTGGTGAAACCAATCCATTTATTTTTTAGAGTGATTATTGTTATGTAAGGACTTACTACTGCCATCGTATTTGCCTTCTGGTTGTTTTCTATCTCCATTTTCTTTTCCCCCTCTATTTCTCTTTACTCTTGTAAAGTGTGATTTTTCCACGGTGATTTGAACCTTTTTAAAAAAATGTTTTACTTAGGGGCACCTGGGTGGCTCAGTCGTTACGCGTCTGCCTTCGGCTCAGGTCATGGTCCCGGAGTCCCGGGATCGAGCCCCGCATCGGGCTCCCTGCTCTGTGGGGAGCCTGCTTCTCCCTCTCCCTCTGCTTGTGTTCCCTCTCTCGCTGTGTCTCTCTCTGTCAAATAAATAAATTTAAAAAAAAAAGTTTTACTTACATTTACTTAATTTTACTTAAATTCAATTTAATTAACATATTGTATTAGTTTCATAGGTAGAATTTAGTGATTCATCAATTGCATACAACACCCAGTGCTCATTACATCAAGTGCCCTCCTTAAGGCCCATCACTCACTCACCCTATCCCTCCTCCCCTCCAGCAACTGTCAGTTTGTTCCCTATGGTTAAGAGTCTCTAATGGTTTGCCTCCCTGTTTTCCTCTTACTTTATTTTCCTTCCCTTTCCCTATGTTCATCTGTTTTGTTTCTTAAATTCCACATGAGTGAAATCATATGGTATTTGTCTCTGATGGACTTTGCTTAGCATTATACCCTCTAGTTCCATCCACGTTGTTGCAAATGGCAAGATTTCATTCTTTTTGCTTTGTGATTACCATGTGGCTTACATGTAAAACATCTCATAATTAAAATAGTCCTTTTTAGCTTGAAACTTTATAGGTGACCAAAGATAAAGTGCTATCCACTTTTATTCCTTCCCTTTTATATTTTTGACATTACAATTTTTTTTTTTTAAGATTTTATTTATTTATTTCAGAGAGAGAGAGAATGAGAGAGAGCACATGAGAGGGGGGAGGGTCAGAGGGAGAAGCAGACTCCCCACTGAGCAGGGAGCCCGATGCGGGACTCGATCCCAGGACTCCAGGATCATGACCTGAGCCGAAGGCAGTCGCCTAACCAACTGAGCCACCCAGGCGCCCGACATTACAATTTTTTTTATGCTGTGAATTCATTGAGAAATTATAGTAGCTATAGTTATCTTTAATGCTCCGTTCCTTAGGCCATTCTCCTACAATTAAGAGGTTGAACACACCATTCTAATATAGTTAGTTTTCTGATTCTGCTTATTTCTCATCATTGCTGGAGTATGGTGTACTTTCATTTGCTTTTATGTCACTAAATCCTTTCATTTCAGCTTGAAGAACTACTTTCAGCATTTCTTGCAAGGCTGGTCTAGCGGGGTTGAGTGCTTTCAGTTTTTGTCTGAGAAAGCCTTTATTTCACATTCATGTCTGAAAGGTGACTACTGGATGAAGTGTTCTTGCTAGCAGTTTTAATACTTTGTCATTTCACTTTCTCATGGCCTATAGAGTTTGCTGAGAAACCTGCTTATAGCTAATGGGGTTCCTTCATAGGTTTCTCTTTTTTCCCAGTTCTTTTCTCCCTCTCCCTCTGCCCCTCCCCACCATTCATGCTGTTTCTTGCTCTCTCAAATAAAATCTTTTAAAAAAATAATAATTGGGGGCGCCTGGGTGGCTCAGTTGGTTAAGCGACTGCCTTCAGCTCGGGTCATGATCCTGGAGTCCCTGGATCGAGTCCCGCGTCGGGCTCTCTGCTCGGCGGGGAGTCTGCTTCTCCCTCTGACCATCCCCCCTCTCATGTGCTCTCTCATTCTCTGTCAAATAAATAAATAAAATCTTAAAAAAAAAAAATAAATAAATAAAAAAATAATAATTGGGTGGTACATTACCTTCTTGGACTTGTATTCTCCATTTTCTTCTCTAGGTTTGGGAAGTTCTCGGCTATTGTTTCTCTAAATATGCTTTCTGCTTCTTTTTCCTTCTATATTTTTCCCATCATAACTGATAGCTCTTGTAGGGTTTCTTACTTTTTTAAAAATCTTAGTTCCTCTTCTCAATCATTTCTAAATTCCTGTCCTCTAAGTTGCTAGTTCTTTCCTTGATCTGCCTTATTTCCTAAGCTTTCTAGTGCATTCTTCATCTTATTGAATTCTTGAGCTCCAGAATTTGGTTCTTTAAAAATTTCAATCTTTTTGACAAAGAACTCCTGTTCATTAATTTTTTTCCATAGTTCACTGAATAACCTTTCTGAGTTTTTCTTGTTCTTTATAACAGCTATTTTGAATTCTTTATCAGTTAGATCCCAATATTCCATGCCTTTGAGTTTGGTTGCTGGAATTCTTTTCTCTTTGTGATGCCGTGAGATTCCATAGTGTCCCACGAAATGTGCCTCTGCCATCGTATTTGAAGTAGTAGCACACACCTTTCTTAGTTGTTTACTTTGACTGTTACAGTTCAACAGACTGGCATTTAAAGTCCTTTTGTTTTTCATAAGGTAGCCACATACTATAGCTCAAGTTTTGGGTTTCTTTTTACCTAAGCCGGCTCTGGTGCTGCATTTGGGAGTGTGCATTAAAAAAGTTGATATAGAGAGTACTGGCAGTAGAGGTGGAGGGCTGCCCACGGCATGATAGGGGGATCCTCGAGTGGGGGTACTCCCACACGTCCATGGGCAAACCTGCTATGAAACCCTGAGGGAGATGGGGCGGGGGGGGGGGTATGTGTTCCTTCAGTGCCCTTTGTTATTCTTATCTGCCTCTTTCCTCTCCCTCCCCCAAGCGCTGGAGGTCCTTCCTCAGAAACCTGGGTGCTGTTGGAGAGAAATGGGTCCCTCCAGCTACAGCCTATGCAGCCAGGGGGCCAGTCACTCACCACCTTTGCTTTCCCTGTCCTCTGTGAGGGAGGAAGCCCAGTGCATTGCAGTGTTGTTCTGGGCAGGGAGGCTGACTCCTAAGATTCTCCTCAGCCCCCAAACTCTTCTCGGTCTGGCTCCGTTCCCAGTGGGACCTCCACAACTTCTGTATCTTCCTTGCATGTCTGACCTGGTTTGCACTCTCCAGTGTTGCTCTTGCCTGCTCATGGCAAGATGGGGTGGAGCAGGCTCGCCACCTCCCTTGGATCTGAGGCCTAGCCACCTACTTTCCGGAGCACAGGCAGGTACCCGTGAGGTCACTTTTTGTTTGGTTATGAATAACCGGTTTGTTGTAAATAAAAGGGGAGAGTAGAAAGGTACAGCTCCCGTTGCCTTGATGATGTCTCCAGTCTCCTATGAGTCCAGTGTTCTTACATTATACCATATTGGTTACTCCCTCCCTGCAACTGTAGGCAATTTCTGGGTAATCTGGATACAAGGAGTTGTTTCTCAGTGGAAATTTATCTAGATTGCTATGTGCTAGGCAAATGTGTTCCATGATGATGATTATTCACGATCTGAAGCAAACCAGAGAGAGCATGGAATCCTGCCTTGTATTTACAGAGGACGGAGTATGGCACAGTGTATCTGGTATCAGAATCACAAATGTAAATTGCTTTTGACAGTTGCTGCCCCTGAGGAGAAAGGGCTTTGTGGAACCCACATGTTGTCACCTTCTGATTGACTTGATTCTTAAAAACACTCTGAGCCAGAGAACACCTTTCATCCAGAAAATCTGTTCTTTTTTCCTATGTTCCTCCTACTATTATGTCCTTTGTTCCAGGCACCAAGCCAAGAGTTTCACATGATTCCAGCTTCTAGGAGTCTGACAGGGAAGGTACAACACTGAGAAGGCAGGGGATTCTGAGGCCCTTTTGGGCAATTTCACTACGTAATATGTTGAATTATTTAAGGAGTTCTCGCTGGGTGGATATTGGTTTTGTGTTTGTACTGCTAGGCCTCCAAAAACACATTGCCAACCTTGATGTTTTAGAAAAAAGAAAACCGTCAAGGATCTAAGCTTCCCTCTCTCTAAAATGACTTAAAGTTACCTAACAAATACTGGTAGGAGCCCCTCTGAGCCAGCCCCCACCATGAGCCCTGTACTTTAAACAAAAGGAAATACATCAGTTATTGGCCCTACAGAACTGAGTATTAGGGCAACTGCCTGTTGTCCCCTTTCCTTTCTTACCCTCTTTCATTATGCTCTTTTCTCTAACCTTGGAACCATATTCCCAAACTCCTATTCTTCCTTTCTTGGTAAACTTTATCATGCCTTTATGGGGCACCTTATAATTAGGACATTGTAAGCTGAAGAAAAAGCAACTCCTGGTACAGTTGTTAACAGTTTATAGATTATATTCAACTGTGCATCTGCCAGATTCTGTCTAATGTATATAGAAGATCAGCACATTCTCTGATGTGCGTTTCATTTAGAAACAGGGCTGTGGTGTGAGCACAGTAAAGCTGATCAGTAGAAACTGGTTTTTTTACTCAAAGCGCCTATTGTGAACAGACTTTGGGTCCTGGCACCAACACTTTGAAATGGCAATAGGGAGCCCAGTATATCTTGTTCTACTCCTGTAATGTGAGACGTAGCCTCCACTGGTTTGAAAGAAAGCCAGAATCCTTTCTTTTCTTCTTTGGCTTTATCCTGCTAGTAATCAACCTGGTCAGAATCTTCAGCTTATATGTTCTTCCCTGGTTCAGCCCCACTTCTCTCAGAGTCTGAAAGAAAAGAAAAGGTAGGTACCTGTTCCAGCTCTTGGTAAGTTGGGAGTCTGAGATGACGGAGATCCTCCTTTGATTTTATGAGGGATTCTTTATTCTCCCACTTGACAAAAGCCCGCTTTCTGACCAAGACGGGGCTGGGGCATGGAGATGTGGGACTGGGAAGCACATACAGAGTATCCTGGGCTGTCTTCCTTGGGGAGGACAGCATCAAGGTCCCAGAAGGACCCTCACTGCCAAGCCAAGACAGTGATTCCGTCTGGGTGGCCTTGTGGGCGACAGTCCTCTTCAGCCGAACAGAAATCTTCTGTGAGGACACTCCCATGAGCATGATGGTCCGATCTTTACTTTCCTCACTGTGTTCCACTGCCTCCCCATTAGGGAATGTGAAAGGCCCTTCCTCAGGTGCTGTAGAAAGATACAGGACATATTAGTATTCGATCTCAGAAAAGCAGACTCTGATGAGACCTTTCTTATTATAGGAGTTCCATGGGCCCAAAGTGGTCTCCTTTTCAGGCACCCTCTTCAGGGGGTGAAGGGACCTGAAGTGCAGGTGCTTTGCTGGTGAAGCCACAGCCACTGGTGCCAGGCTGCATCTGCCCTGAGGAAAGGACATTTTTCTATTTGCACAAAGGTTGCCTAGAGGATTTCAGTTGCTGCAGATTAGTTTGAAGCAAGGCCCTGTAGAGAGAAATGGTCCATACAGATTTTTCTGTGGACATTGGGATGGGGTAGCTCTCAGCATTCAAGTTTTGGTCCTCTTGCAGGTGGCCTCCAGGAGCTGGTAGGAATTTTCTTTGGGACCTATCTGTACAGTGGGCATAGCTCAACTGTGAGAGGGAAGTATGTCTCAAAATGTGTTGCCCTTACATTCTGGTTTTGTCTCAACCAACACGCTCGCCCAGGACCCAGTGTGGATATTAACCATTAGGAGTAATTTCTTGGAAAAGTAAAGAGTGGATATATTTGAGATGATTGGTAGGCTGTAAGACAGACTATTGTTTTGCAATGACTCAACGGTAATTCTGGGCTGTTTAACTACATCATTTATAAAGAAACAGATTTTAGATTCTGTTGAGTCTTTCATTTAATGAGGATAAAAAAGTTACCTTCCAGGATTTGGGGGAAATGAAATGATTATATAAAGTGTTTTTTAAGAAACATGCATTTCTAGTAAAATGTTACATATTTTTAACTACTAAACCTTGTAGCCAAGACATTGGATTGGTATAGTCAAAGTGGCTTCTGGACAACAAAAAAAGTTACCCAATTGGCATTTATAATTTGAACCAACAGTTCTAATACTTGAAACCTTATAAGGATCCTAATTAACTTTTCCCCAGCGGAACATAAATTGACATGAAGTATCAGAATATTTAAATTATGTTTGGACTATTACGCATGATTTTTTTGTATCTCGCATTTTACAACCAGACTTTCATGCTGCTCTCTGCCACCTTTCTCCCATGAAAATTTGTATTTTATGTGACAGAACTGATATGTAATTCTTGAAATGTATCTTCCACAGTGGTGTCTGCAGTGGTTTTTATTAAGGGGGGGGAAGGACAAAGGCAATCTTTCCTCCCTGAAATCTTTATCCTTCCCACTTCATTTTCCAAGAGGAATGTTCTCTGTGCCTACTTACCATGGAGCAGGTCTTTGGCTCCCAGTGAGCAAAGGCTGGATGTTGGCCCTCCAGCGGTGCTGTTCTCTGTGGGAGCTGCTGGGTTCTTGGCTCGCTTCTTGCACTCAAACACAACCAGATCTTTGCACTGTTTGTGGCAGTTCATCCCGCAGTCTGTGGACGAGACACCCTGGTCAGGAAGTCTTTCGCTTTCTTCTCCAGAGTCTCAAAACCACATTGGTGCCGTGCTTTCTCGTCACACGTGCCTGTCCTAGTCTGGAGCTGGACACCTGCTATTCCTAATGAACCTAGCAGTCTCATTTGGTCAACTCTGGATCTCACAATCTTGTTGCAACCCTTATCAGAACCAGAAGCAGCGTCCACTGTCTTGGAGGGAAGTGGTCTCTTAGTCATTCTGCATATACTACAGAGACCCCCCCTGGAAGCTTGCAGCTCTTATGTCTTACTCTTTCTTCCTTGCCATAGAAGTCTCCTCTCTTTCACGCCTGAATTTCTCCAGTTAAAAGGAAGGATAGTTAGGTCCGGAGGAATCTACTGGTAAGAGGAAAGTTGGCAAGGGCCTTTGTATGTGAAGATTTCTGTTCCCAAAGTGCCTTTCTTTGGAGACCCGCCTTTCCACGACCATATGAAAGCATCATATCCTACCCGCCATCCCTAGTTCCAGGACAACCCACACAGAGAGAGGACCTAGCAAAGAGGAGCTTCATAATTGGTCGGTCAGGCATTCCTCTTCTCTGTGGTGGCAGTCACTGTCAGTGGGTGCTCTAGGGAAACCAATTTGGGAATGAGGCTGGGAGCCATGCTGAGAAGTTGCGGATTCAATAGACAACTCCTCTGGGTAAAAAATGCTTTATTAGGAGATCCTCTGAGACCAGGCAAAACAACACAGTCGACAAAGCTGAGCCTTACCTTTACATCGATATCCTTGTTTGATCACTCCCCAGAGCTATGAGACAGACAAGAGATGGTTAGAGTGTACCAGCCATCATTCATCTGTCCGGTATGAGGCTAGACAGTGGCATCCATTCTTTATTTTCCTTCATTGTGCTTTCTTCCTCAGGTGGGAAGGAAACCTCCTTTATCTTCCCCATCTTAACTCTCCTGACCTTAAATTGCAAACACGAAGAGTTTGTTCTGATCAAAGTCAGATGTTCAAGAAGCTCACTAGCATGGACTTAGGAGGCCTTCCTGAGGCCTGAAGTAGATGACTCAAAGAACAAACTAGTTTCTTGGGACTCCAAACTAAAGAACAAGCATACAGAATCCTGGGGTCAGTGGAGGGGGTTGGTCAGAGAGGGGCAGAGCCACATGACTTCTTAAAAGCCATTCCTTTTGAAGGGGAAAGGGCAGGGATGTCTCATAATTCTTTTCTCTCACAATGGCAACTATAATTACTATTACTATAGTTACTATAATTACTATGACTATAATTACTTAAAAAATATATCCTCGGGGGCCCCTGGGTGGCTCAGTTGGTTAAGCGACTGCCTTCGGCTCAGGTCATGATCCTGGAGTCCCTGGATCGAGTCCTGCATCGGGCTCCCTG